AGCAAATTTGTAATCGCTTTTCTCAAAAATATTGCTTTTTATTTGCCTTATTTTTTATTAGTAGCCAGGTATAATGCACATTAGATTCCTATAATATATATATAATACCTTTATTTAATATAGCAATACCTTCAATATATATTATATTTATATACAATATAATTTAATATAATGAATTTTTTTAAAAAGACCGGAAATAAAGCTTGATTTTTGTTAAACGTGCGTTGTAATACCGCAAGTTTGTTCCGGAGTAAAATAACTTTTATTCCGAATTACGCATAACTTAAAACATTTTTCGAATTTCAGATACAAAAAAAAATAATAGGGCCTTTCCACTAAAAAAAAAACACGCTATTTTTTTCCTATGGTGGGGTTAACTCGATGAAAAGATGCGAATTAAACTAAGAGTTGTGTTGTGTGTGCGTTTATGCAGCCGCAGCCCCAATGGGTGTCTGGCGTTTCAACTGCATATAACATGAGCAATTTTTCCAATGCAGTACAGCCGCTACCGTTGGTTATTTGACGTGCACCAAGCAGTAGTGATACAGGCCCGCATATCGGTACGATGCTTATCCAGAAAGAAACGGGCAGGGGGGAAGGGGGGGATTGAACCCGGGATCCCTGGGTTCTGCAGCACGAGCTTTCGACCCACGCGCTCCGAGCTGGTGTTCACTATCACTCGAAGAGAAGCGCGTGAGTCTACTTCCCCGCACAGCACACAGAGTGCCCATCACAGGCAGCTCAGTGAATGACGATGCCGAAACATATATGTAGAACAAAAAGCTCAGTCTGAGTTGTGACATTAAGCAATGCAAAACGTCACCCTCCTATTGCTTAATGCCACAACTCAGACTGCGTTCTTTGGTCTAGACAAATGTATCATCCGTATGTTGCACTAATTGGATCTCCGAGTGTTGTGCGGGAAAGTAGACGTCATGCTTTTTTTAGAGTGCAGCACAGTAGGCCACCGAGTGGGCTAGGGAACACTACTTTAATTGAAAACAATATATTTATAGCACTGCACTCTACTTTAAAGTTACTGTAATTATTTCTTCCGCTCTGTTTTTACTAATTGAAAGAATTATTCAATTAATTTGCCATTTTTAGAAGTGCGTCGAGTTTTCCAGAATATTTTGTAGATACGGTTATTTAAATTAAACAAATCTGATATAAATAAAACGATCCTAATTTAAAGGGACACTACACCCCCCCACCCCCCCCCCCCCCCCCAAAATTGTTTATGTTTTGCCAGACGATCTATTATGGTGTCAGAAGACTACCCAATCAATATTTTACTACAGCGTCACGTATATTTTTAATAAAGTCAAAAGACGCAACTGCTCGAAACCGAAACCGAAAGTGGACTGGACAGGAAAAATTAATATAAAGGAAAACTTTATCACCACGAGGCTGTCTCTTTTTTTCTTTTTTAGTCAACGTGTTTGTAGTTACTTAGAAAACACACAAAAAAATGGGTTTCGTATTTTTTTTTGTCTATTTGTAGTATTCCGAGTGTGCCTTCGATGACGCACGACTTTGATGATCTTTGGTGGTTGAGTCTAAACCATAGAAAACAACACGTGACCACGGAGAGGAGGGTGAGCGCTACTCTAATGGGCCAGTTCTCGGTCGGCGGTTTTTCGTGGGGAAAGCAAATTGTCATTTGGATGTTTGTATACAGCCGGAGGAGGTTGGTTTGCCTCAGTGCGCGTCTGGTATCTCAGCTGTAGATGAGCAATTTAGCCAGTGCGGTACAACCGCTAATCCGGGACCTTTAATACGTGCGCCACGCAGTAGTGATACACGACCGCATGCCGGTACGATGCTCATCCAAATCGAAAGAGTCGGGGGTGGGTATTGAACTCAGAATCCTTGAGTTTTGTAGCGCGACCTTTCGCTCCACATGCTCCGAGCTGGTGTGCGCTAGTCCACTCGGGCGTAAAGAAAACGAGTTTCGAGCGGCAAGGTGTTTTCTGTGTAGTCGGGCTGGCATATGTCATGTACAAATAAAACCTTGGTGAGAATAAATACCCTGTCAGTGTCCCTTTAGATAAAGAAATATGATTTATTTGATTTTTTCAAAATAAATTATTTTCCTAACTTTTTTTTTGTATTATGCCCAGAAATTGTATGATTGAAATCATACCGTTAAATTTAATATTTAAAGGTTAATTACTGGAAAGTAATTAAAAGCATGATTATACGGGACGTTGTTAATTTTCCTAAATAGGCTCTTTGGCAGAAATCAATAGGACATCAACCTTTTACCTCTTCAATGAGGTGTTTCTGCAGTAGCGATTTGGCACTCATTTTCGGAAACAATCTGCATATGAACCATTATAAGGATAGCCTTACTTCTTCACTTTGCTTGTATAAGAAGGACATACCTAGACCACTCTCTGTTCATTTCATTTGTATTTTACGTTTTGTTACAACATAAAAGAAGAAGAAAAAAAAAGAACGTTTTGCTAAAACATTAAGAGAAGCGACAACAATTGCCTCTTCTTCTGATACCTATTATGGCTCTGCTGAATGGATTGTGTTCTCTCCTCAGGCAAGAATCACAATGACGTTTTATTAACTGTTTTAACAGCTTCATGAAGTGCAAATTCACATTCAAGTTTTTTTTACTATTTCCCAGCGGTACGCTTTGATGCACAATGTTGTATTATCCCTTAATATCAAAGAAAAGTGGCAAAAAAATAGAATCGCTATTCTACGCAACTTTTATGCGCTGTGGGGTAATAAGAAGTTCAGGCTTACATCTGTATAATTTGTGATTTCTTATAATAATTATCACTGAGGAAAAGCAATATACATTTCTTCTATTTTCCTCAGTATATATGTATATATACTAAGGCCTCTTCGAACTTTCGCGTTAACCACACCTTCCCCTAGATCTGATATAAAAGCAACCTACTGTGTCACGTGGGCTTACGTCCTGAAGAAGACAGTGCCAGTGCCGAAACGTCGACAAACATCAAGCCCCTTTCTTATTTTTATATTTTTCTATTCTTTATTTTATTTTAAATTAAAGATTTATTCTTGTAAGTTCTTGTGTTTAACTTTGACTTTTATTCCGCCACTTTTTAAAGTGTATTATCCGCGTATTTAGCGTTCTTGTGTCTAGCCTTTATTAGTCTTGTAAACTAAAACCACTTTATTTCGGCACTGCACTCTTTTTTTCTTGTGCGACTTTTTTTCGCCGTTAAATTAGATTTATATTTTTATCATCCTGCGGCTGTTGTGTCTACGCACCTTACTTTAGTCTCTCTCTCTCTCTCTCTCTCTCTCTCTCTATATATATATATATATATATATATATATAAATGTTCTTATCCTCCATTCTCACGAGCCCTTTTTTTTTAACATAATGCTTGCAAATATTAGAATTCGAGTATTATCGCAATCGAATATTTACTGTACTAACCGTAATGGTGCTTGTAATGCCTTTGTTTTCGCGCTTCCTTGATGCAGTGCCACCAGCTCTTAATGTAAAATAAATCAAATGATCACATGAGTGTCATAAATATTCGTGGTAGTATTTAGCCCATTTGCATTGGTATTTCTTGGTACAGAACTGTAGCCACGTCGTTATTGTTTTCCCTACATCTTCCGCTTCAAGGTAGATGGCAGTCTGCGATGCTAATTAAAATAATGCTGGGTGCTATATATATTGTATAATGTTTTGGGCCACATTATTCCTGGTGTTCAAGTGCATCCTTATTTTTTTTTATTGTTGTGCCTCTCCTATCACGGCCCTTTAAGCCAGGGAGTATGCTTAAATCAATAAAACTTCACCAAAAGCAGGAAGCAAAACTCCTCAGTTAGTCCCACTTCCTCAAGAAACTATTCTTTAAAACAAACATTCCATCCAGAGTTCTATTCGGTAATCTATCATAGGCAAATATTTCAGTTATATTTCGGTTCGTAACGTACATGTAATGCGAACCATCAGGTGACTGTTGCAAGCCTTGCTCCTAAGGTTGGTGGATGAGCACGTGGGCAGACATTTCTTCAAAAAATATTGAAACGTAGGATAGTAGGATTACCATTTTGTGCATGTGAACCTGTTCCAACACGTAGTGTTGTGAATAGCTGCGTAAACAAGTATTCCAAGCCGGCCCCTGCTGCTCGCTGCCTCTCCACCGCTTGACATGTATGTGACTGTATCGAGTTATAGTTGACTTCTATTTCATGCATGCCAGATACTTGAGACATCACCAACAGAATACTTTGGCATTGATGTTTGTTTATTTCTCAACACAACAACTTGGAGCGCATCCATAAAAGAAAGCGCTAAAACAGGAACGTAGCAGGAGTCGGCTCCGGTTCTCGTGAAATTCTGCAAATAAAGCAAAACACAGAAACACGTAAATGTAAAAACATAGCTAAGCGCTCGGCTCTTTCAATTTTTTTCATGTTTAGTGCGTAAATTAATGGTTTATTATGAAAGTTAGTGCTCTCTTTAAAGCATTAGGAGGCCAAGAAGTGACGTTAATAATTCAGCGTCTCTCCTAACCTAAGACTGAATATGCCACCCCGTAAACTAAGGACGTTGTAGTTGTATTTTTTTACTGACGGAAGATACATTAAGACTTGATTGTGACCGTTACCTCTGCGTAATCAGTGCAAAAGTCATTTTGTGCCTCTCCATAGATATTCACCCCTACTCAAAAGTAATAGCTCATATTTTTTATAGTCCATCAATCAAAGAAATTTCTCCCGGTTTTAACAGTGGTTGCTTGATGCGCTATACTTGTAATACCGCACACTGTTATTGAGTCGATATTTCTGGAGAGGTAGAAAGCTCGTAGACCGTATATGACACACTTGACAGTGATATATTTCTCTAAAACATTATACTTGCTGTCCAAGATATTGCGCCGTTGAGCCTATCGTGATGACTTAGACTACTGGTCAAGCAACTCGTTTTCAGTTCGTTTCGAACTTACAACTAATGTACACTCAAAGCGAGAGCCCATACAAGAAGCTCACCTTTAGTGGATGCCATAGCCAAGTCCGCCAACTCCGACTCCTCCGGCAGCGACCTTTCCAAAACCACTCTGTCCGTAGCCAGCCTGTCCGGCGGCTGCTCCACCGCTGAATCCGGAAGATCCCTGCTGTTGACCGGCTCCGAAGTTCTTGGCATCGCTGGCAGAGAAGCCGGTGTTGGAGTTGTAGCCAGACTGGTGGTTGTAGGACTGCACGTTCTTGGCGGCGCTTCCACCAGCGAAGGCTCCAGACCCCTGGGCGTGTCCAGCAGCTCCCTTCTTGAATCCAGCCTGGTTGGCTCCGGCGGATTGACCGTAGGCAGATCCGAATCCATGACCAAGACCAACGCCGCCGAGACCGACTCCGTGACCGAGACCCACACCGCCGAGACCAGCGCCGTAGCCGAGTCCTCCGGCACCAAGACCGGCTCCGTAACCGAGCCCTCCGGCACCGAGCCCGGCTCCGTAACCGAGTCCTCCGGCACCGAGTCCGCCTCCATAACCGAGTCCTCCGGCACCGAGACCGGCTCCCAGGACACCACCGCGTGCCTCCACCTTAGCCTCCTCGGCGAAGGTAGCGCAAGCTACGACGGCCAGGACGGCAATGGACAGGAACTGCTGGATATTCAGAAATTTCGGGAGGTTTGTTTGAGAACAAAAAGAGGTAAAAACACCAATCGGACAAAGTCCAAACTAGATTTAGTGGAAAAGATATAATAAAATCGTCATATGCTTTACGTTCCTTTATGCGTGTTCTCGCTGGCGGTGTAAATATAAAAAGTGGTACACGCAATAGAAGATTTAGTGTATCGGTTCATTACTTTCTTTCGAAAACCTTAGCTTATCTTCGAAAGTAGTCAAAAATGTTTCTTGATCTGTGATATTTTCTCTAGAGGAACTTTTTGCATCGTATTTTATGATTGGGATTGCCTATCTATTTTTAAATTGCGATATGTTTTTCTTGAGGAGTAAGGCTTATATGAAAGCAAGAGTTTTTGAGAAATACACTAGATTCTCAATTGTGACATAAGATACCCAGTACATTGATTCTAAATGATTTTAGCCATTGAAAACTAAATAATAGTAGTAAAATACACGATAATACGAGGCTTATTAACTCTTTGCCGGAAACTGTTACGATCCCAGCAAGACAACGAACCTTCATGTTGATTCTCAGGGGGTTGTCAACAGACTGGTGACCTCTGGAAGCTTGGGAGAACTTGGTTTCTTTGCAGATCTGTGGGCCTAATGGATGGGAGTCTCCGCTTATATACAATCTTACCCCTGAAAAAAAAAAAATCTAAACCAAGCGTGGCACGATGCTACGTTACGGTTTTTACCTGCAATAGAACCGCCATCAGCCAAACATAAACACTGCCTTTCCCTTTCTTTGGTCCCGCATGACGCTTCAGAGAGTACGTCGACATCCGGCTGACCTTGCACTGGAAGACGCGAAAGAGAGTTCCACAAAAAAAGGATGGGACTCCCCGGGTATTCGAACTCCTTTCCCAAAACAAGGGGGGAGAGAGGGAATGCCTTGTTTGGTTTGCTTTTTTGCTCTTTTCTGGGATGGTCATTACTGCCAGAACTTCCAACCACTTTCCGCTGGGAAGCCAACCCTTCCAGCCAGCATCTTCTCTGAACTTGACGTCGGAGAGGCTTCGATAGCCATCTGTTCCAGGTTTCCCTTTCTTTCCGCTTTTCTCCACGGTTCACGTTTGCTGTAATTTTTTGTACTTGTGTAGTTGGCTTTATTGCCGGTTACGTCCTACGGTTCACATTAGGGTAATAGACCAGGGGATGTAGCCCCTGACGCGTTTTAAAGAAATCGCATTGCTAAGTATAATTAACAATGTGACACAAATGTAATGAAATAAAAAAAAATTATCACCTGCCGCTCAAATTTGGAGCTGCTGCAAGAAGATATGATAATTACGTCCTTCTTACCCCGTCGTTTGTGAACACACGATGCACGAAAAGAAACTTTGTTTATGCAAGGTTCCAGCGTGCTTTCTAATGATTCTAATTACTGTCATAAATGCAGCTCATTAGCATCGCCTTTATTTGTGGAACTGTTTTATGGGCCTCAGTGGAAGAATAATAAAGATTGAGTAGTCTGCTTATACAGCCCAAATGTAGTCTGCCTCCACGGGTGACTGGTCAGGTATTAGGCTGCCTGAACGGCAAAGCAGTCGTCAGGTATTAGGTTGCCCGAATTTTGTCGGGTCTTGGAGTAGGCAGACGATGCGTATTTAAATTTAGACAGCAAGGTTGGGTAGGGCTCAGTTTAGTTGATAATTATAAGAATATCGAAAGGAATTTGTGTCTGTAATAAAATGTGGAGCACTGTTTTTTTAGGGAGTGAATTGTTTTTGTGTCTTTTCAGGTCACACAACTAAAACAAATCTAGTTGAAGAAATATTACCCTAAATTGTTTGATTTAATTGTATGTTTTTTTATAGAAAATAAATATATATTATTAGTATCATAGCTTTACTAGTACAACTCTAGTAGAAAAGGACACAAGAGACATCCATTTTTGAGTGCTTGTTCACTTCGCAAAACAGAATGCCCTGAATTTGTATACATTTTAGACATCTGTCAAATAAAAAAAATTGCTTACGACTATATTTTAAGCCAGTGTATTGTAATATGCTTTCAGTGTATGCAATTTGATTTTCAGGCTCGGTCAACGCGCGGAGCGCCCCGCTAAAACTCGAAGTACACTAAGCGAGAGTTAAAAATACTCATCCGTTGCTGGAAGCACTCACAATAAATATTCGAACACATACTTGAAGTGCATTTCGTTCCTGAATAAAGGTACAAAATTAGAATACTTTGAGTGCACTTCTTTTGCTAAAGGTTTCACATACATTTAACAGGACTGCTTTTTTTTTTTTTGCTTTATAAAACAAATACTCTACTTAAAGGCCGACATTGAACCTCGTTGTTTTGCCGGGAAGATAATCCTATTAGCGCGCCCCCTTTCCTAAGCTGCAAGGGGAGCCAACTTGGGGAAAGGTAAAATGGGGGGAGGATATAGTAAAGGAGAAAGCGAGCAAAAGTGGAAATCGCAAAATGTACGTCGACCTTTCGCTCAGATAAGGATAGAATAATTATTTAATTCATTAGGAATCTTTCTGAGGATAAGCAGAAGCATGTCCCTATCCGCTGGTGATAAAGCACGTTTATTTCCAAGACGTTTCCTTTGATTCTAGATTTTTCGCGAAAGAAGATATTGAACCTTTTAGCGGATGGTATGATTTTTGGGGATAAATAATCAGGTGATGAAGTGATGAAATTCAGGTTTGTTTATGTTCTGCCGAAATAGCGTTACTCTTATAATCGTCGTTGTTTCCTCAAAGAGATCAAACACTGCGTGCCATGGCCAAATGTAAACTCCAATAGAAAAGTTTGAAGTTTTCTCTAATAAAAATCACCTGCGTTTCTAATTCAGTTTCTTTACATGTGTGGACATAGCTACCATAGTTTAGTTTTTCGCGTATCAAGTTCAAAAGCAGTATGCGTTTGAGTTTAAACGCATACTGCGTTCAAGTTCAAACCCAGTTACATAGAAAAGCGAATGCGAATGCTTTCTTTGTGATGCTGGACTCTTGATTAGACTGCAGCATAATTCTCACCTTAATACCACCGCTTGCAACCCAATAAGACTATATCTTTATTTTAGGCCCTCTCTAATCAATTCGGGCGAATTTGAAGTTTTATAAAGTTTATAATAATAATCAGAAAAAAATATCTATTCGCAACCAACGTGTGTTACGACTGAGCTGCCTTCCTTGGCGGACAACTGCGCAAGCCGTACCAGTTATGCCAGATAAGCAATGGCTGCCTTTTTCGAAACATTGTTGAACCAGGATTAGAGGAGAAACCCCGAGGACATTCCCACGCCGAGCAACCACGCCAAATAATCGACCTTCGCAAGCACCAGCGCGAACCGGGCAGGCGAGACGTGGAAGCGGTTGACTTCCTGCGTTTCCGCTACATTTTGTCTTTGTTCGAGGTAAAAAGGAAACAAGCTCAATTCAAGAGCCGGCCGCTGAGGAAGCGGGTTTTCCTCCCGACGCATTTCGACGGGAAGCGAGCTGGGTACGTCTCTTCTAACGACGTCGAGGAAACCTGGCGCTCGTTTTCCGACCAAGTTTGAAACGAACGAACGACGAGCATGCAGGTACTAGCGTTGAATTCCACCAACCGTTCTCGCCGGTCAAAGCGTGCGTGCGACAGGACCACGGGACGAAACTCCGCGAATTCCTTCTCGCGGACTCACGCACGGTTTGCGTACCAGGAGGACGCGAGGGGGGATTCCCTCGCCGATCGAGTTTGGGGCGAGTCACTCATGAACGCATTTCTGTTTGCTAATAAAGACGACCTTGCACTCCAAGCAGGAAATGACTGGAAACGCCGGCTAATAAGCCGAGTTTAGCCAACCGTAAAGTTTTTTGTGTGTTTTCCTATAGGCCTGCGGGGGAGGTTTTATGGGTTTATGATGGGATGGGTGCTGGCTATAAAATGCTTGCTAAAAAATGCATGTTTACGACATATTAAACGTGGCATAGTCTTTTACTGGGAGCAGGTGAAACATTTTAGAGACTAAATTTCCATGAATTCTTTCTTTATTTGTTTCATTTTTGGTCGTTCTACACGGCTACGGGTTCAGTGGTAGCATGTAGAAGGTGATGATAGAACATGGATCTATATGTAAATTGTTGTTTCTCGCTTAAATGCTTCATTAAGGACCTATTTCTGTGTGTGTGTGAGTGTGTGTGTGTGTGCGCGCGCGTGCGTGCGTGCGTGTGTGTGTGTGTGCATTTCAAGAACACTTGAAGTTGTACGTCGAGGGAGTTGGGAGAGCATTTTCAATGCCACATAATTAGTGAAAAAGTTTATTTGAGTAATTCATGTAGAGTTTGGAGCGACAGCCTTCTAGTTCGGACGACTTACTGATTCCTGGTTAGGCTTGTTGCCCTTTATTGGCACTCTGACTGCACGTACGCAGCCTAGACTCATGTTCTAACAAAAAAAAAATGACGGAGCCATTTAAGCTTGTCCGAGGGGGGACCCAAAAGAAACCGAACTAATTCTTTTTTAAGCAGAGCTTTGGCAGTACCGCGTTTTGCCGCCAGGAGTTGATAGAGCGAACATTGCTGAGTCATTAGGCCTAATTCCGTCCTCGAAGAAGGTTAGGACTAGTTGCGGCTGGGTTTATAGTGACAAGTGTTTCGTGTGGGCGTCGTTTTTGCAATGTCTGATTTCTGTGAACAGCGTGCGGCGGTTAAATTCTGTTTTTTGCTCGGAAAAAGTGGAACAGAAACTATTGAACTCTTAAAAACGGCGTACAAGGACGATTCCATGGGGAAAACTCAAGTGTTTGAGTGGTTTTCCCGTTTCAAGAATGGCGACATGTCAATTGATGACAAACCTCGTTCTGGTCGTCCTTCCACGGCACAAACACATAAAAACGTTGAAACAATTCGTGCAATTATCAACGAAGATTGACGACGGACCATTGACGAAATTGTGGAGCTGTCGGGAGTGAGTTGGAGTTCATTGCAGCGAATTCTCACAGAAGATTTGGGAATGAAAAGGGTGGCTGCCAAATTCGTGCCACGACTGCTGACTGCTGAACAAAAGCAAGGTCGCGTGGAAGCATGCTGTGCTTTGAAAGAAGAGTCCCGAAGTGACCCAAACTTTTTGTCAAAAGTTATTACAGGTGACGAAACTTGGTGCTATGATTAGGATCCTGAATCAATGCAACAATCAAGCCAGAGGAAGACTTCAGGTTCGCCTCGCCCCAAGAAAGCTCGTCAGGTGAAATCAAACATCAAAACAATGCTGATTAGTTTTTTTCGATGTGAAAGGAGTCGTCCATTCAGAGTTTGTTCCGCAGGGTCAGACAGTTAACTAGGCTTTCTACTTGGAGGTTTTGAAAAGATTGCGCAACAGTGTGCGGCGGAAGCGGCCTGATTAGTGGAAGTCGGGTGACTGGTTTCTCCATCATGACAATGCCCCGGCTCACACTGCCTTGTCTGTACGACAATTCTTGACCAAAAATGGTATGACCCCTGTTCCTCACCCCCCATACTCACCCGACCTTGCCCCGTGCGACTTTTTTTTGTTTCCTAGAATGAAAAGAGAAATGAGAGGAAAGCGTTTTGCTGACGTTGCTGAGGTGAAGAAAAAAACGACGGAGGCGCTGTCAAGCATCACAAAAGATGAATTTAGACAATGTTTCGACACATGGATTAAAAAATTAGACAAGTGTATTAGTGCAAGTGGACAGTACTTTGAAGGAGATTGAACGTTTGTACTTGAAATGGGAATAAATAAGTGCAAAAAAAGTTAGTCCGGCTTCTTTTGGGTCCCCCCTCGTATTGTTGGCAGTAGAACGCAGATAGTGTGAAGTCAC